TTATGTTATTGCTTAAGTTTTTGTTCTATGATATATGTGCTTTTATTCTGGTCAGCCTTGCATTCAAATCACATTTGATGTTCTGACCGAATGGTAAGTAAACATCCAACAATTCTTGGAATGTAAGTGGCCACTGCAGCAGTAGTGACAGAGCATGTATTCATATCATTTCCTCCAAATGTGAAAATTTGATTTCTAGATCCAAATTCATCATTATAATGAATGAGTAAATCCAGCCATATCAGGATTGGTACACCATTCATTCTTATTATGGCCAGGGCAGTAGACACACCTCAGGATCCCTAGTGATTTTATTTCTTCCCTTCCCTCTATCTATGCAGATACCAATCTATCTGCATAGATCTTCCCTTCCCTCTATCTATCCAACTACCGTTCTGCACTTCAATTTCAGATCAGTTGATTTCATTTTTTGTAATTGTCTATCTGGGTTCAGTTCCAAGTGGGAAGAAAGACACTGGAAACATGGAGGCTGATTGAAAAGATGGTTTAATGGTGGACAGGACCACATAGTTTGAGGTCCTGGGCAATCGAGCAACTGGGTGTGTGTGTGAGAGAGATTTATACCCTTTCTTGCGTCCCACCTTAGAGCTTCCTGTTTCTGTGTAAGGGCAGGTATCCTGATTGGTTGTCAGACTCCCATGGGACCATGCAGGGGTAATGTTGTAGATTGTCTTGAATCCCAGACTGGGTTGAATCTTGCTGGGTGATGAGGTAATGAAGCTAATCCTATCATGTCCTGAGGGTGAAGGTCTTAATCCCATCACTTTGGAGCTGAAGTGGGTGTCAGAGAGCTGCTTTGTCTTTAAAAACATGTGTTTCCTTTTCTCATCCAGGGAAATATAATAGTTTGCCTTTTTAATATTTTCTAGAATATTTCATTCTTCTAGGAGATGGCTGGGTGCTAATTTTCTTACATTGTTTTATTTTATTATTGCTGCATTACATTTTTAACACAATTATTATACAGTGAGGGTGCAGAAGAGGGGCTAATTGGGATGAGAATTCCAAAGACTAATTGTAACCACCATTCAATGCCATTGTAACTTCAAATGGTTATTGAATGAATAGCAATAGCACTTAGACTATATACTGCTTTACAGTGCTTTACAGCCCTCTGTAAATGGATTTACAGAGTCAGCATATTGCCCCCAACAATTTGGGTTCTCATTTTAATCAGAAGGATGGAAGGCTGAGTCAACCTTGAGCCTGGTGAGATTTGAATTGCCAAATTGCAGTCAGCAGTTAGGAGAAGTAGCCTGCAGTACTGCATTCTAACCATTGGGCCACTGTGGCTCATGTTGTAAATTAAGGACTCCTTTGTAATTTATTCCATGTGTTAGCAACACTAAAGGGCAAGATATTAAAATAAAGTAGTAATCCTTAATGGATATTCTGTTGTTATTACTACTGCTGCTATTTAAATATATATGTATTCCTTTTGTTTTATTTGTGTCAATACTAATTAGCATGATAGGAAGGCTGGAAGGATAGTATTTATTAGTAACCATTAGGAGTTGCCCTTCAGGTTTATCTCTGTAGAAGATATACCATGGACCAAGTAGGAAGGCAGACTGTGAAAGCTCAGATAAAGCTGGTTTCAGGAGAACAAGGTTCATCAAACTTTATATAGAGACTGTTTCTGTTTAATCAGATAATGCATATAATATGCAAACTGGCATATATTTATGTGGATCATGTGGAGCTTGGGAAAGAAAGACAAAATAACCTCATTCCCAACCCCCACTCTGGTTTCCTATTTTAAATTGCTCTTTTGTTAAATGAGCTATTGATCCTTGCATCTATATACAAGACTTAATGAAAACAGCATAGCAGTGTTATATCCCTAGCAGTGTTGTAGCGTTTAGCTTTTAACCAGATTGTTTATATGCAGCAACTTATAGGACTTGACTCCTTGTTCTAGTAGTTGGTATTACTGATTTCAGGATCTGAGAAATTGCTTTCTTGATTTGTTTGCTATTTCTTCAGTGGGATTATCCATTTTTCCTGGCTGCTGCTTGGAAAGTCCAAACATGGGTTAAATACAGCCAATCTGCCCAGAACTGAATTGAAACTTTTAGCCAAGCCTCTGGTGCTGACCAGTCTCCAGTTTTTTTTCATTTCAGTCAGCTCAGTGGATGCGCTTCAAGTTTCTCTTTAATTGTAGTAGATTGCTTGGCCTCTCCATTGTTTCTTTTAACTATTTTTTTCTTATTTTAGAGAGCAGGCTTGGTGAGATTTCTTTCTTTTGTTTTTTTAACTTCCTCGGTCTTCCTAATTTTTCCGATGTCCTGGGCTCGCCCAGGCGCCGCGAGGTTACAGGCAGCTGTCGGCGAAGGCACGTGGGTCAGAGTTCCTATGCCCGCGCGATCGCAGCAATCCCCGCTGCGATCGGTCTCCCTGCTGTGATCTTCGTTACTTCTGACCACGCTCGCCTAGAGGAGCCGGTGACTGGCACGGAGCCATAGGGAATCGCAAATTGAGTTCCAGCTGCCATTTTGAAAAGGTCGGAAGTGATGGCCGCCATTTTGGTTGCTCGTTTTCCCGCACGAATCTTCGCAGCTGCCTGGTTGCTGCTCAGAGCTCTCCTGTCTGGCCCTCCGGCAGGCAGCCTCTCTTTGTGACTTGTGATTCAGCAATAGTGGCAGAGGAGGTTTTGTTGGCCATCCTGAGTCATACTCCTATACAATCAACCTGCGTGGGTGCTGGGAGCTGCTGAGGCTCGCACCAAAGGATCTTTGACCTGATTCCACCACATAGCAATAGCAATAGCAGTAGACTTATATACCGCTTCATAGGCCTTTCAGGCCTCTCTAAGCGGTTTACAGAGAGTCAGCATATTGCCCCC